AGGGCAGTAGCTGCAATGGTGGGTGGTTTTCCGAGGGTTTAAGGTGGCATACAAGCCACCAGTTTGTGGGTTTTATACCGAGAGCAAGATAGATCGAGAGAGTGAGGGAAAATGAAGAGTGTTTGAATGCTTTTCCTTTATGCTCTAAGGGTTTGTAAGATACACTTTTATATAAATGGAAGGTGAAGTTTGAATGGGTGATGTTAGACACTTCACTGGGCATTTTTTTCATCCATTTTGTGCTTTGTACTTTAAGTCAAGATGTCAAGCCTTATGGTCCTCCATTCTCAAAATAGAGAAATAGTTTATAGAAGATGGGTTTGGAAGGTAGTATGTGTATATATATATATATATATATATATATATATATATATATATATATATATNNNGATCTAATGCATGTACAATAGTACAACTCATGTGATGTCCCCCTTTTAACATTAAAATGTTACAAAATAGCTTCCTCGATCTACTTGTCCAAATTTCTGACATCTAATAATTTTTCTGAAGGTGGTGAACGATAGTTTTAAATTCAAGGGTTCCAAAAACCTGAACGGATAAATTTTTCGAGTTGTAGAACTCAGAGAATTTGCGTTTAAAGTTTCACGTCTAATTGACCTTAAACATCTGATTTTCCGACTTTTACAAATATTTTTGCTAAAAATATTCCAATTATGAAATCGAATATTAGACCATAGTTGAGTCCCAAAACGCTCTCGAAATTTCCATCCAAGGTGTGCAAGTACCTCAACGAATTGAAACAATTTATACAATTCAGGTAAAATCAGTGTTATACTGGTTTGGTTTCGTATAACAGTCAGATCTTTTGCATACAAACTCCGTTTTGGACGTTATTTATATTTTCGGACTCATATGACATGTACTACGAGGCTAGAGTATTTGTTTCCCCTACAAAACAAATGTTTAATACAAATTTTTAGTTTTTCAGATGTATTAGCTAGGGTTATAGTTTGTAATTGTGATTTGTTTGAGATTTTCCACACCGGGAAGTAAGATATTATTTCATTCTTATTGTAATTATATTGCAAACATGCATTAAAGCTCAATATGTCAGGTTATAATGAGGTTCGCGGTGAATTGACTGTTTACTTATTTAGACCTAGATTTCGAGATGCCACACATGCCCACGAGCCGACTCGTCGTCTTCACAACCCTTTCTCATCTGATTTGTTTGTCACATGTCTACATATAAATTGATTGAATAGATATTTTTAAGATGAATTATTTTTATTTTAAAAACTAACATTATCCGAATCAAAATTATTTTTAAAACTATTAAAGTTTGTAGAATATAATATTTATAACTTTTTATTTTTAATTTATTCATTCCCTATTTGCTACCATAAATCCTATGAAATAAAACAATTATTTTTAATATTTCTATAAGTTTCTAATAGAATACAATATAAATATAAATTACATTTATTTAATAAAAATTGGTTTGGATTAGACTATTAACATGTGTAAAAATTAGATAAGATTGGATTGTATTGGTAGATGAGAAAAAAAAAATAGTTTTTTAATGGAAAAGTTGGAATGAGTTGGGTTGGTAAATAGGGATGAACATTTTGTACAAAATCTTGATGTCATATTGATACCAAACCATACCAATTAAAAATATGAGACGGTAATGATTGACACTTCAAAATCATGAAATTCGGGATTCGGTACCGTCGGTATCCGTACCATTCCCGGTACCGATAACTTTAATTAGGTACAGTATTTGAGATTGACTTTCGATAAAATTCGATATTCGAAAAATCAGAAATGGTACCCGTGTACCGATTCCATCCCAAGCTTATCGAGTGATAGTTGGAATTCTATTTGAAAAATCATTTTTACAATAATTTCTTAGAAAAGTTTAAAACATCGTTAAAGAGTTTTTGAAAAGTAAGACCTGACTTCTCCGGCGACGGCCCTTCATATCCGGCGATTCCCCCCCCCCCCCCCCCCAATACGACGCTGCACTCTCTGCCGAGATCCCAACCCTGGTTCTTTGGTTTGCTTATCAGGTAACCCCACCTGCCCTCGTCCACATCACGCCTCTCTCCCAGCCTCACCCCCGGTTGCCGTTCGTCGTCGCTGCAGTCCATCGCCTCCGCAGCTTACCACTTTATGTTAAACTGGCATCATCAAGGTTAATTTTAAATCTATTCTCTTCTTTAATCGATTATTTCCTTCCTCGCTTGCTTTTTAATTTTTCCTTCTCTTTATCGTCTTATGTTTCTGCTTTAAAACCCTAGAAAATCAGAGAAAAATTTCCTTTATTATTTCTTCAAATAGCTTATGTTTTTCGTCTGAAATATTGATTTGTAGGTGGCATTGTGATACATGTTTACACGAAAATGGGTCACGGAAGCATATTTAATTACGAACGTGTATAGCAGGGCATTGGGCCTAACAAACCATGTGGTCCAATTTAAATTGTTAGTATGTTTTGCATTGTTAGTACATTTGCATGTCTACTGTAAGGATATCACTATTACATACATTAGAATCAATTGCTTAATTATGAAGGGTGAATGATTCTCTTCTCTGAAAAGGAATAATAATAGAATCGAAAAGGAATAATACTAGAATGAACAAAGTAATGGAATGGGCTATTACATTCCATTACGATCTTGAAGAATATAAAGAGCCATTCAAACTTCTTATTTGTTATGTACTTTAAGTTGTATTTCTTATCATTAATTTGATCCTTGTTAGATGGTTTGAACGACAATCTTGTGGCCAAAACTCAAACATACCAAATTGAGCCAGCAATGGACCGACTCATCACCCTGCTGAACTATCATAAAAAAAATAAAGCTGCCTGTCAGATCTCCGTGATTCCTTTGATTTTGTTGTTACTAATATTATTAAGATTGGGATTTTGTTGTACTTTCTGTTTCTGCAAGTTATAAAATCTAATATGAAATAATTTATATGTTTCATTTTTGCCATTTCTGATTTGTTTGTTTTTTATAGGATTGAGTTGTGTGTGTTTGTGTATGTTGCTGTAAATGTTTCAATTGGTTTACTTGTAGGAAGCAAGCATTCTATGACACTATACCTCGATGGAGTGCTTATGCTATTTGTTTCCTGCAATGAATCCCATCATTTACAAGGTACGTTTCTTTATCATTATATAGTTGACTAATTATTTCGATCCTGATTTTCCGGTTGCAATCAAGCCATCTGATATATTTCATATGGAGGTTTTACAACCTATTGCATATCATGTACTTGGGTTCCATAACCATTTTGCCATTATTTTTATAGGAAAGTATTGCGTGAGGGGGGTGTTGTACATATTTATTATGGATGATGAAGTTTCTTAGTATACAAATGCATACCAGAACTTATATGCTCTAATAAATCATTAAATCACTGGCACAAGCACAATGATCACATGTGAAGTCACGTGCATTCACCGGCACCGCATCTTGTTAAGGGGTATGATTGTAATTTCTCATCCAAATCGAACCCTGATGTTATCCCTCATTCTCATGTCCCTTCTTATCTTTAGTATTTGCGCTTGTCTCAAGTACAATCCCTAGAACTCGACCTTCAAAGCCGTGTCTTTACCGTTGCAGGTATATTTTTCTCCTTGGCTTCTATATTTGAATGTTTCCTCTTGTCGAGTTATCTTCTGTGTTTCACTCTTCACCGTAGTTTTCATAATCAAAACCTTTTCACCAATTGATTTGAAGTTCAGGCTACAAAATCTAACTTAATTGTTATAAAATCTGATACAATTTCTATTGGATTTCAGTCGAGAAATCCGATCATTTTCCTCTAATCTGATTGTTTTTCCTTAATTTGGTTTTTGACCTGATTTGAGTTTTTTGCCCTAGATTGATTCAATGTGTTCTAATCAGTTCAATTTGGTTAATTAGCACTGAGTTTGCACTTTACAGTTAATAAAGTTGCAATAGTATTTGCATAATGAGCTTTTGGATTTCGATATGATGATTTAACATTTCTAATCTAATACTTGGATTCTCACATGAAAATCGAGTTTCCATATAGCGTAACTTGCTGTTAACAACCTTTGAAAAGGGCGTTTATTTTTTGATCAGTTCTTACCTTTTAGGTATCAAGTCCTAGTTGAAGGAAATTCATTTACTTTTGTTGCTTTGATGTGTTCTGGAAATTCAAGTTACACTTCATCATCTACTCAATGTAGTAGAGGGTCATGTAAACCTATGATACTGTTTCTTTTGTGTTCCGGATACAATGAAAACTGCAAAAATGGGAACATTGCAGTGATGGAGAAATTGTTGTATATTTTGTATCTGTATATTGTGTTTTCCCGATGATTTTATGCAGAAGAACATACATGGATTTAGGAAACTTTTAACTATGTGGAGTCTTAATTCTTTCCAGGATTCATTTGTTGAGACTATTTTTCAAACTAGTTCACTATCAATTCCTAATTTACAATAAAATTTTGGGAACTATTTAAGGAAACTAAATAGAATCATATCTCCATATTCTGAAAACTCCATCCTTCAGGTGGTTTGTAGATATTTTTCTGTATCTTGTTTGTGGATAATTTGTTATGATACTGCAAAACAACTTGAACTAGTTTGTATGACTGTAATATTCATTCACACTATTTTTCTCTTTTTCTTGCAACCTTTTGTAAAAATTCAGTTATTCGAGATCGGAAGGGTAACGTCTGTATATATGTGAATGCTAACAACTCTTGTATCTAGTATGGAATTTGCATTTACCAAGCTCCCGAATATTTATTTTACTTTTGCAGTATAGGAATGGCCAGGACAAGGAGTATGACCAGAAACCAGAATCGTGATGGTTCATCATCATCTAGCAGGAAGAGGAGGGTCACCAACGGTGGTGTGGCACCGTGGTCAGATCTTGACCATAATTTGCTTTTTTTAGTTATGATGGAACTGGGAGTAATTGATTTTCTTGCATTCGGTGGTGTGTAAAAGTCATGGAGGTCACTCGCACTCAATAATAAGAAGATTTTTATGGCATCCAGACCACCCATGTCGATGTGGATCTCTAATCGTCCTTATAAGAAAGAGTGTTACCTAGAGGACTTTGAAGGAAGAAGGTTCAAAACCATCCTTCCCCATGCTGCTGGCAGGATCTGTTTTGGAATAAGTTGTGGTTACCTGATCTTGTTCAGAGGGAAAACGAAAAACAAGGACTTCTGGCTTGTAAATCCGATCACAAGGCATGAACTTCATTTCCCTTGTTTCCCATTTAATGTAGGTACTGATCCAACAATAATCAGATGTATCCTTGTCTTTTCACCTTCGTTATCTCGGTGGGTGTTTGTGGTGTTGCGTTCATTTGCCTATCAAGTTTGGCTTTCTATAGAGGGTACACAAGAATGGAATCGTGTCTCCTCTGCTTTCCCCATGATTGATTTACATGCTTTCAAGGGGAAGATATATACCATACACATGGGTTGTCGTGTATATGAAATGAGACTCAATCCATACCCCAAACTGACGTTACTCCAAACCATGAATTTTCTAAAGCCAGTCTTCTTATGTCCGGAGTTTCTAAGTTCGAGTGAAAACCTTTATGTGACGGATTGTAGGTTTAAAGATTCATACGACGTTTATGAACTAGATTTTGAGGAAATGAAGTGGGTGTCGTCGGGAAAAACATTAGAAGAATGTGCATTCTTTATTAACGGTTTCAAGTATTCTGCTGCTTTTAGATCAGAGGTGTGGGTTGATCATTGGTCGCTATATGAGAGATGTGCTTGCTTCTTTGCTACCGTTGATACAGGTCGAAAAAGCAGGTTCCTTCTTTCAGGCATCTGGTACTTCCCCAATGATTGTTTGAACGTTAATCGCTTAGATGAATGATGACTTGGATTGGATGCACTCTTATCTTGGTTTTTATCTTTGCATATGTTGAACTTTTTCAAGATGTTCCATGGATGGATTTGGATTTTCAATTTATTGTTCAAAGATTTTGGCTGTCCTTCAACCTTTGCTTTTAGCTTATACAACTACAATTATATGACCCTTTAATACGTTTTGGTGTCCTTTGCTTTCAAATCTGTGCCTACTGCATTATGTTTAGCACATTGGCACATGCTGTAATGAAGGACCATTTGATGTTATATTGCTGTGTATGCAACAACGTTTTGTTGAAAACACGTTGTTCATTCTTTTTTCGTTATCAATGTTTGCAATATGCTGATAGTATAGCTGTTGTTAAACAATGTCCATACTAGGGGTGGCAAATCGGGCAGTCGTTCCGTGTTTTTGCCTAACACGACACGACACAAATTTTTTTTCTCAACCCGAACACGACACGATATCGTGTTTTTTTTTTCATTAACACGAACACGACACAATAAAAACACGATAACACGACAAAATTAACAAAAAAACAACCAATTGCATAATGTCATCCATAAGTTATTCCGAAAATTAATTCAAACACAATAACCACAAATAAAACGATCAAAATTACATAAAGCAACATAAACATGATGTAAATGCCTTCAAACTTATGACTCCATCGTTTCATGTCTAGTCTTGCTATTTCATAATATCATCCGTAAGTTCTTGTACACAACTCTTCCTCACCTGGAAAACAAAAAACATAAAAAAAATTAATCATTAAATAAAAGAAATCAACAGGAAAACACAATTATCTTTAATCCCAAACAACCAATCTTTGGTACAAATTCGAGCTTCAAAATTGTCTGTGTCAACGAACTTCAATAGTGATCAAGAACATGGCCACCATTACGGCATTACCTACAGGGGAATGGATAATACAAATCAGTTCTACACTTCTACTGATTAAATAATTCTAAAAAGAAGATATGAATAAATGATAAAAATTAGAAGCATAGAATGATTAAAACATAAAAAATACACCATACAGTTAGATACGTGAATTAATCAGTGATATTAGAAAACTGGAATCACCATAGAGTGAGATTAAAAGGATAAAATTGAGTGTCGTTTTAAGAACAATGAAACTGGAATATAAAGTATATAAAAAGAAACATAAAACTGATAAACTGATAAAAAAAACGATTTCAACATATAAGAAGCAATACACTGATAAAACGATACAAAAAATTGCTTCTTAAACTGATAAAGATCAATCGATTTCTACATATAGATTTCTACAAAAGATCGATTCTACATATAAACTGATAAAGCAAAAGTACTAATAAGAAGCAATAAACTGATAAACTGGTACAAAAAAAATCGATTTCTACATATAAGAACTGCTACAACAGATACAAAGAATCGATTTCTACATATAAACTGATGCAAAAAAAACATTGAGAATCAATTTAAAGTCTTCACGACTTCACCTGTGTCGATCAACAATGGAGGATTGGAGGTTCAATAATGGCGATTTATGATTGGTTAAATACAAGTGCAATCAATTGAGAAGGATTGGAAAATTAGGGTTGATTGGGATAAAGGTTGAGCAGAGAACAGAGATTTGCGATTGAACATAGGCAAGAACCTAGGGCGTCGAGGGTATTAAAGTCACATAAGAAATTAAGAATGTCGATTGGACTGTGGCAGAGGATGGATTAATGGAGTCTTTAGGAATATGTTTGTTTAGATTATTTAGGTGTCGATTCATTTATCAAAAAAGGCATGCACATGTTTTAGTTTTAAATACATACTTACTTAATTAATAAATAATAATTAATCGTGTTATTTTCGTTTTAATAGCGTATTACTATCGATTTATTGTCAGTTTAATTTTGTGTTGATGTCGTGTTGTTATCGGTTCAATTTTGTGTTATTTTCCTTTTATTATCGTGTTGAATTTTAAACACGAACACGACACGACACGATATCAGATTTTTTATACACAACACGAACACGAATTCGAATTTCGATTTCGTCTTAATTTCGTTTCGTGTTGTATATTTTTGTCGTGTCGTGTCGACTTTTTCTACCCCTAGTCCATACCAAAGCATTGGAGTTGCAAATGTTAGGGAACATCATCATATTATATATGTTAATTTTTAAATAACTCGGTTTCTACATTATATTGTATTGTATCAGAAGCAAATGTTTGTACATTGGAGGATTTAGTCTATTTCCTAGACTCTCAAGCAATCAATTCATAACTACAAACAAGAAATGTAGAACTAGTTATGGATACAAAATACAACAATATATGTACATTGTCAGACAAAATAATTTGAACTTCTCTGTTTGCTTCTTTGTTGGTTATACAACAAAAAACCTTCTACATGTCTCTTGTTTTCCTATGGCTAATAGAGGTTGAACATATTAAGTTATCCATCTATATATAATAGGAAGTGTTTCAATTGATTCAAGTTTGTTTGTTGTCTTTTAGCTTTTTCCTATTAATGAGATGATGGCGACCCATGTTTATAAATATCTCTCTTCTTCGTCATAAGGATGCTTTCTAGCTACTACCTAATTGATTTTGAAGGAAGAAAGCTCCAAAACCATCCTTCCTAGTTTGGTTGGAAGGACCTATTTTGGCTCGACTTGTGGTTACTAGATCTAGTTCTGGAGAAAAAGGTGTGACATTTGGCTTGTGAATCCTAATACAAGGCATGAACTTCCTTTTTGTAGCTATTCTCTTGGAAGAGATATTAGGGACATCCTTGTCTTTACTTATTATAAACAGATTCAGTGAGGATA